AAGTTTGTTTCCATTTGTCTCGGTCATCTTGGCCCCGAACATCCAACACGAGCCTCCCATGGTCGCACTTTGGGCGCCAAACGCCGCCTCTGAATCCCTAGAAAAAAAGAAGTTTGTTTCCATTTGTCTCGGTCATCTTGGCCCCGAACACCTGGTCCCGCCACAGCTTTTCCCAATCTAATTCTGGTCCAAAACGAGCCTCCCATGGTCGCACTTTGGGTGCCAAACGCTGCCTCTGAATCCCTAGAAATTGTTTCCATTTGTCTCGGTCATCTTGGCCCCGAACACCTGGTCCCGCCACAGCTTTTCCCAATCTAATTCTGGTCCAAAACGAGCCTCCCATGGTCGCACTTTGGGTGCCAAACGCCGCCTCTGAATCCCCAGAAAAAAAGAAGTTTTTTTCCATTTGTCTCGGTCATCTTGGCCCCGAACACCTGGTCCCGCCACAGCTTTTTCCAATCTAAGTCTGGTCCAAAACGACCCTCCGAGCCTCCCATGGTCACACTTTCGGTGCCCACCCCTGCTTCCGGCTCGGTGAGGGCCTCAGGGAGCACGACCGCGACATTGTGAGCCACCGCCAGAGGGGTTCGTATGTTGCTGTAGCTTGCGGTTCCACTGATGCATGTGTTCGAGCAGCATGGAGCAGTGGAAGCGTCTGTTGCCTGCAGGTTCGTGCTGCGACGAAGAAGCGCAATTGCGGCTCCAGTGATGCATGTGTTCGAGCAGCATCGAGCAGTGGAAGCGTCTGTTGCCTGCAGGTTCGTGCTGAGACGAAGAAGCGCAAGGCTCCCGCACCTGTAATCCCTCGCGCGCTCCCCCTCCTTCAGCCGGGGTCGGCGGATATGTATATAGACTATTGGTGACCGGTCTTTGTCGATGTACTGCGGTTGCTGCCGCAAGGTCTCAGTGAAGAGAGCTTGGCCAGTGGTGGGAGGAGATCCTGCGCTGGAAGAATCCGTTTTACATTGTGCAAAGCCTTTGGGCGGCATCTATGTATTAAGATGTGATTGGATGTAGGTGATGGGATGTGTAGGTATACTTCAATAGGGAGACCACCCTGGCCTAATTACTAAGTGGTCTCGGTCTTCATTAAAAAAAGATCTGCAGTGCACGTGTTTTTTGACCGTTGCGATTGCCTCTTAAGGCTTAGAAAGCTGGAGTGAAGCACTACAATCTGAGGCTCATTGATACATCGGCTGCTTGATGAAGGCACCGCACGGTGTTCTGACAAAAGCCTTCGGACGTCGAAAAGGACCTCGCGGCATTCGAAGTTCTTTTGGTTCCATTTGTGTTGCAGTCAACCAGCGGATGCGGAGAGGAAGACGCTAGCCGGCCACACAGCACGGCGGCGAGCCGCAGCCACGCAGCACAGGTGCGGGGTTGGTCTCCAAGTCAGCAATGGATCCTGATTTGTACAGGATGATCAGATGTTTAAAAAATATCGGGAGCTTGATGTTAAACTCCTTTTTTGGAAGAAAAAGTTATGTCTTCGAAAAAGCTCAACCTGAAAAAAATTGTAGCACTTGTTTGTTCTTGCCAAGTGGACTTGTTTGAGCACCGAACTGCGCTTCTTTGATGAGGTTGACACCGCACCTTTGGGTGGGTTTGAAGGGTTTAAAAGACGGGCGGGTTTCCTTCGGGACACCCGCCATATTTATGCAGCAAACTCATGCACGCCATGTGAACGGTGGCGAACCCCCAAAAATGGCTTGGCTTGGCTGTGAGAAGGCTCCATGCCTGTCTTTTGAGTGATTCTAGTGTCTTTTGTTGCTTGAATGAGCCCTTTGACATGAGCGAAGGAAGCGAACAATGAAGGGAACTCCGAAGACCTCGAACAACCTGACTTCAAAGAGGATCACAGGATCACATGCGACCTGATTGCTGAATGTCCAGTGGTTCTTGGATATAGCTAGCTAGCCCATGGCCTACACATGCCTACACTTTAATTAGCATTCCTGTCTGAAACTAAAACTACATCAAACCATTGCAAAACCCATGTGATAGTCCACGGGCGCCCTGGTATTGATTGATCCCAAAAGTGCAAACAGTCAACAATTCTAGCACCTTTTGGGAAAAACACACACCTGTCCTATATAGAAATCTATAGTACGTACCACTTAGTCCTCCTTTCTTCGGCCAAGTCGGGTTCGCCTCGGTCGCACCGTCCCACCGTCCGGGTGGCCGGGGTGGGTTGCTGGGACCGGTGGTCGACTCGGGGCCAACAGGATGTGACATCGAAGCTATTAGCCATTGGCCCTTTGTCCAGGATCAATTGGCTTCATGAAGTGTGCATTCTGCTGGTTGAAAGTGATGAATCTCTTCCTTGTGAGTCTAGTGGATTCGCTAAGTCAAACTCAGTGGATTCTCCGCTTGACGTCGGTGCTGAGGATATAGGTACCTGCACTAGAAGAACAAGTTTTACTTTGCACTGTGCAAAGCGAGCCTTTTGGTCGCATCTCGCTTTTGCATGCTGATCTCGCACGGCTCGCGCGCGCGTTCGTCGCTGGTGAAGCGGCTGCCATCCGAGGCGCACAGCATCCACCACGGTTCGTCCACCCCGCGGCGCGGTAGACCGCGCTTCGTGGCGTTTCCAACCGCGGCGCCGACCCGGAGAGCTCGGCCGCGCACGCGAGAGCCCCGGAGAGCGAGGAGTTCCGTGGCTGGAGACGAGACGTGTTTTTCGTCCAGTGGCCGGCGCCAAGCTCGGGTGGTTTTCGTGGCAAAAGAGGAGAAGCTCGGGTGGTTTTCGTGCTTGTTTTAACCAAAGTGTGACACCGTTCTTGGAAGACTTGGACCGGAAGTTCAGAAGATTGATCTTGCGGCTGCTGGGCTCAAGGTTGCTCTGTGGTTTTGGTTGGTCTTAGCAGCTTAGCATGTCTCAACTGTTACATAACGGCTGTTCAAAGTTGTTCTTAACAGTTAAAGCCTGAGATAGGCCATCGCCCCCACAAACCAAACACCAGAATTTGGTGTCGAGTTTCCACCTTGGCCTGTCGCGAGAAGCGCATGGCAGTGTGACCAGCATTTTCAAGTTCGCCGGTGACGAGGAACACGACGTGTCGGCTTTGGGACTTTCACCAAGGCGTTTGCCCTAGAACACGCCAAAGCACCAATCTCATTTATATAATATTATATAATATATAGTTCGTAGTTCCTGTATGTTCCTATCACTCGATCTTTGTGATTCTTTCATGCTTGCCAAACTAAACTCCGACCCAAATCCGGGAGAGGGATCAAAAAGACAAATAGGGATCAACTTAAAGACAAATAGGGATCAGCTAAAAACAATTCAATACGCATCAAGAAAAGCACAAAGAGGCATCAAGAAACAAGGAAGGAAGGAAAGAAAGAAAGAAAGAACCACCACCACTAGCACTACCACTACCACTACCATGGCCACTACCACTACCACTACCATGGCCACTACTACTACTACCACCACCACCACGACTACTACTACCATCACTACTACCACTACTGCTACTGCTACTGCTATTACTACTTACTACTTACTAGTTACTACTTACTACTACCTACTACCTACTACCTACTACCTACTACCCACTACCCACTACCTACTACTACTACTACTACTACGACTACGACGAGTACTACTACTAAATACTTATACTACTTACTATACCTACTACTTTCTTTCTATTTTTAGATCATTTTTGTTTTTATTTTGATCATTTGTCCCTTGTGTTTATTGCAACATCACCATTTTTTGTTTTGTTGATGATGATCACTGTTTGATCTTATTGTAACATTTTTGGTTTATTTGTGTTGCTCCTTGTTTGTTTTTTTTGATCCTTCACCCCCCAAATCCGGCCGTCTTCCGATCACCTGCCATTGCGCCGTCGTTGTTGAAGAGGAGCTCCAAGCTTCAAGCGACGGTACCGCCCAGCTGAGAAAACGTTCCGCCTATGAGAGGTGTGAATGGTGGGCAACTCAGAGCGACTCAAAACGACCATGAAAGTAGACCTTTTTTCGACCTTTCTTCCTTTTCTTTAATCTTTGTTTCTACTAGCAAAGCGGTCATGTCTTTCCCTATTAGCCTTCAAAGACCACGTGAGAACGGCTTCACTTGGCCTTGTAGTCGAAAATCCTGAAGTCAAAACAATGTTGATTTGTAACCCATTAAACCATAGGGTTCTTTGTTTATGAGCTACGGCCGGAACCTGGTAGAAATCCTTCATGGTGCACTCAATAGCGATCCAAAGTGCTGCTGCCCCACTGCCCCACTGCCCTTCAAAACGAGCGGCTGTGGCTGTGACCATGGTCCGTACCAAACGATTAGGGCGTGGCATGGCATTGGAGTGAAAAGTGTTCACCCCAAAACGAATATGCGTAGCTCTTCTTTACACGGGTCTCACGATGGTGACGAAGTCCACCGGTTGAACCCACCCGGAGACACTCGTCCTGGTGCGCTGACGCGCACGGACGAGGTGGCCGTGCTTCCCGTCTTCGTACGGCTTTTTGGGCCGTGCTGCTGGAGGTGCCAAGAACGAATGAATTCAGGAGACCCTCACGAAGTAAGACGAACACTGGTTAACCTTTTTGATAGATGTCGAACTGATTTAAAAAAACATGAACAACAGATGTCAGATTCAGATGTCAGTGCTCGAGATTCCAAGAGGTTCATTTCGTGTGCCCTTGACAGGCCTGTATAGCGCCTACACTAGGGCAAGGTAACGGTCTGTGGCTGAGATCTTTGTTGAAACGAATTCTATCGCGTTCTGCAGAAACCATCGCAGAACAAGCAAAAAACATATTAGCTTTTTTTGAAATATGACTAAGTTGGAGACCATCGTACAACACGTTCATAAACAGGTTGTTCACATCACTCTATCTTCGGCCTTCAAACTTGGAGAAACTTCTTCTAACTCAGGCGAGACACTGGGATTACAGGCCGAGACACAGGGATTGCATTTTTGGTGCTGTTTTTGGGTCCAACATGGTGGGTGCTTGAGAACTGTTTGGGGTGCCAGGCAGATGCGGAACCTGGAACTGTGCCCTGGCTCAGATGGACACATTCAGGACATACGTTTGTGTTTGAGACTAATAATATAGACCAAAGACAAAACCGACAAGACGAAAACCAAGAAGACGCACTCCGGACATGAACAGATAATAACAGGATAGCTGATAGCTCAGCTAAAAGGATAACTTCAAGTCGTGGTCAGACTTTGTCGTCCGCACATCTCCCATTGGCTATCCGTGATCCATTCTGCTTCCATCCGTCCATCTCCGTGTCTCTCCGCGCTTCGCCGCGCGTCGCGCGTCGCGTCGCCCCGTCGCGTCAGCTCCATTGGGCGTTGGCCGTGATCCTCGGGCTGATCCTCATTGCGGGACTGATTCGCTCCTACCGCATCCTCAAGCAGACGCAGCACCTCACGGTGGTTCGACATGCTCCAGAGGCCCAAGGGCACGGGCGCGACGGCGTGGGCCGGTGAATGGGCGGGTGGGTTCTGGTAGGTCTGGTGAGCTCGGCCTGGATAGGAGGATTCATCCAGATCCTTGGAGATTCGATGCTTTGTTTTTTTTTTTTGTGGAGCATGCAAGATGAGTCGTTCTTCAGTAGCTGTTTTTTCTCCTCTTTTGTATACTCTTTCTTTCTTTAGCGGCAGGGTGTTCTTGTTACCGAGCTCGTGCCCCCCCTTGCTATAGCGGTGTTTCGGAACTCACTCCGTCGCCTCGTCGCCAGGGGATGCGAATCGTGGAATGCGGCAATTGTCGCACGCCACAGCATGACACTTAAAGACACACGGTGACACTGATGGATTCCAGGCAAAGCGCTTGAACTTGAGAGGGTTTTTTTTCGTTCGTGCACTAACTTCTGGAGCTCGAGCCGGTTGTGATTCTCTTTTACGATCCATGACCACATTCTCCCTGACACGTAAAGAAAGAAACATACTCCTTCTCCGGCCTTCCGTTCTCTATCTCCTTCCGTTCCCGGCCTTCCGAGGTATGTTAGTGCACATGGGCGCATTTTTATTTGCTGCACCTGCCATTGTGCCAATCGGATACCTTTGGAGATCGGCCGCTCAGAGGTGCCCGGACACCACGTCGTGGTACCGATCGGCGGACCGGTCGGCAGTCGTCGGAGTCGTCGGATGTCGGTGCGTCCTGCGCAGGAGCTGATTGTTCCGGAGGGTCCGCTGAAGAAGTTCGAGTTCAAGAAGGGTGGAGAAAACTACTGGCAGGAGGGAAGCGAAATGTTCGAACAAGACAAAGTTACCGCGAAGCTCCATGGATAGTTTTGGACCAGATGACGGAATGACTATCTGCAATATAGTTCCGCGCGGAACAATGACCTTCGTTGTTTGGAAAATGCGAAAACGCTGGACTCGCCGAACGTTTGTGCTCGCTCTTTGCAGCCGGGATTGGTTCAAGCCGGACGAGACGAGACTAGAACAGAAAGTACATCGCTGTGTTCAATTCTCACATCACCACACGCTCCACAGAAGAGCGGGGTAGGTTGCGCTTCCCAAAGAAACTGCGCAAGAAACATGACTGTTGTAGTATACTTAAATGGTATTAGTCGATCTATACGTCAACTGTTCGCAACGACTCTTCAATGAAGCTGTTCAATGCGCGAAAGAAGTGGCAGGACTGGCGATTCCTGCTTTGTCGGATGTCGTCGGATGTCGCCCTTGCCTTCGGTTTGCACGGTCCGGTTTTCGCCGCTGCGGCGCCAGAAGCTGTGGACATGTGCGAAGTGGCAACACACCGAACATGACCAAACGCACTCCAGTCAGGGGACGCGCAAGAGCATGGCTCAACTGCTAGACTGTCAATCAAGAAATGCCAAGAACACACTCAGCAAATGTGTGTGAATTAAAAGAACGGAAGACGCCCGATCGCCCGTGGCTGGGTCGACTGGTCTACTTTCCTTCTAAGTTCCAAACCCTTTTTTTTGCAACGGGGTTCTCTCGACGCCTGAAAAAGGTCTGCACCAGGACCCTCCGAGGGGTGCCCTGTCTGGAAGCCAGGTAGTGTGGGGTAGTTCATTGGACACCCCTTGGAAAAAGGTCTGCCTATGATCCATACACCTTCATGTATGCCATATATATGCTTACATTCACCCCCAAAACCACTCCCAAAACCACCCCAACTGATTGGCAGTCCTATGGCAGTCCCATGGATCGTCGTGTATGAATCCATACACACACCGCACATCTTGGACCGATCGCTTCACTCTCCGTCCAACTTGCCGCGCGGCGTGGCCTGCGTCGTCCGGTGAGTCCTACAGCTACACCATGTGACACAAAAAGAACGGTGAACGAGCAGAGAAACAAAGAAACGTATTGCAAACCGTTTGAGAAACAAAACCACACGAATCCATCCGGGCCGCCTTGCGCGCCTTGCGCTTCCGTCTTCAGGAAGCAGAGGCGAGGGTGGCCTTGAAGAATCAACGCCGGAACGCACACGTGGTGAAGCCGTTGTGGCTTGGGACGCGCTTGGGCGAACCGCGCGCGTCGGGTATGACCGCGTCGGGTTGGGCAGGATGCTTTTGGAAAGAGCTGTTTTTTGAAGGGGTGAATCCCCAAAACTGGGTGATGTCAATTCAAAGCACCTCTTTTGAAGGTCTTTTGAAGTGTTGCTTCACAGAAAGTGCAGAATGCTGTGAGAGTGGACAATTTGTTTGACTTCTGTTTGTTCGGTCGGAGAGGGCGAAGAAAAAAGGGACCTCAAATCCTCAAAGTAAGACCGACCCGAAGACAACCTCCAGCACAGTTGAATCTTTCCACCTCCTACCATCATGAAGGGTTAGGACCGGAGAGCAGTGTTGCTCCAGCGCTGTGAAATTGATGGACTGCTGACATGGATGGTGAAATCATGGCACATTTGTCCTCCCCAAGTCAACTAGTAGCGTCCTTGCTAGTGGCCTCCAACCTAATAGCGATGGCCTCCACCGTGCGTAGCCTCAAGTCACCCCCAAATTCCCCGGAAAGGGGATCGATAGATCGATGGACGGCTACACCTCACCCGAAAGCGCCGCCCTCCGTCGACTGTCTCCCAGGAAGGACCTTCCAGACCGCGACCACTGGGAGGTGCGCAGTCAGAGCGGCAGCGGCAGAAGGACTTGCATCCAAAACGGTGGCCGTGCCGTTCGCACCGCACCTCGCGCCTGCTGGGTGAAATCGAAGATTGGATGATTTGGAGGGTGTTTTTGGGGTTACCCAAAGTCAACTTATTTAGTCCTTGAAGAATTGACGTGTTTCATCTTTGAGCACAAATTCTTTTCAGGGCTGCTCAAACTAAAAACAAATTGACATAGACCCTGTGGAGCTTGAGCTCAAACTGTTTCAACGATGAACTCCTTTTTCAACTCCACAAACATTTGGCGACCGGAGATTCCGTGCTTGAAGCAGTGCATAGCAGTGCTTTGCTATAAGAAAGTGCATCATATGCAGCTGGAATCCCAAACAACCAGAAACAAGTTTGTAGGACTAGGGAGACATGGAGTGGGTTTCCAGACACCGCACTGTGCAGACTCTGCCCTGGTCAGACCGGTCAGGCTCTTTTGACCACCAATTGGCAGAATCTCATTGATGCCCCGGCAAGTGCAGGGGGCCCCCAGGTCTCAGCGACGCGCACGCGCATCGAGGCAGAGGTGTTTGACAAAACCCAGCAAGATCTATAGAGGTGTTTGGTAACAACTGTCACAACGCACCCCTGTCTAGAGGGACGTCATGGGAGTTTTTGAAGATTCAACAGAAGATTAAAGCATATTAAAGCAACACCTCAACCAATGAGGTTCTTGAGATCAACTTCTTCATGTCTAGTTCCAGTGAACCTCCACCCCCGACCCGACCCGAGGTCAAAGCGGATTTTCGCTGCATCGAAATCGCCACGAAGCAAACCTGGAAGGCATCGAGCGAGCGTCCGTCGCTCTGATCGAGTGAGCCGGCAGCCGGATGGGTGGATTGTTTTGAAGCTCCCGGGGTGCGCCAGATAAAGCACAGTCCACAACAGCGGGTCCGGCGAAAGAAGGAAATGGACACTGCTGTTGTATGTTTTGTTTTTTGGTGATTGCGATCCTAGAGCAAATCCACAGACTCTCTCTCCATGCTTGACGTCCAAAAGTCTCTGACCCCGGGCGGACTTGGTTACCAAGTCCTCCTGATCCAATTGATCCTATAGCTTTCAACATGGATCTCATCCGTGTCTCACCCTGGGAACCTCTCCGCGAGCCAGGCGCTGCGCTACGCCGCGGAGGAGCTTCGTGATGATCCGGTCTTCGTGCTGCCAATGGTGGAAAGCTGTTGGTGGGCCAGGGTGCCCCAGAGGGCGATTCATGAAGCTTGAACGACATAGAATCAGACTGAAGATCAAACCTCGAATGTTTTTTTACTTTTTTCAGAAGTCAAGGAAGGTCCTACTAAATATTGTAATATAGTTGTTTGAGTTTGCTTTATAAACTCTTCTTTTACAGTAGTAGCCAGGAGTATAGGAATAGGATGGAGTAGGAGTAGGAGTAGGAGTAGGAGTAGGAGTAGTAGTAGTAGTAGTAGTAGTCGTAGTCGTAGTCGTAGTCGTAGTGGTAGTGGTAGTGGTAGTATTAGTAGCAGCAGCAGCAGCACTATCCCTATGTGATCTCTTCTGGGCACAGCTCACTGAGGCACTGGAATGTTTAGGGGACAATGCTCGACGAGACGAGGAAGTCGCAGCAGCGGAGCTGGCCAGTTAAGCTGGTGATTGTCATTGTGTATCCTTTCCACGTGAAAAGTGGCTATACCGCAACAAATTCAACAACAGGTGCACGTTTCATCATTTTTTCATCCCTAGCCAAGCAGGATTGTTGAGAGGTTCTTTACTTGCAGAATGCTTCATTGGTTCGCATGTTTTTAAACCTGAGATGCCCTTTGATGTTTTATAGGTATAGGACCATATAGCCAAGAGGCAAGAGCTCCCCTGAACTGTAACACTTCATCGCTTCGCCAGGCCGCGTTGAAGCAGAGCAGCCTAGCCTTTGAGCCTCCCGGAGAGAGATCCGTCGTCAAGAACATGGGTTGGACGTTGGGATGTTTTGGGAGGTCGGACATCACTCTGGTGGTTGTGTGCTGCCTTTGTTGTTTGTTGTTGCTGTTGCTGCTGGTAGTAGTAGTAGTAGTAGTAGTAGTAGTCGTCATCGTCGTCGTGGTTGTTGTTGTTGTAGTAATATTGTTGTTGTGTTCCTTCTCCCATGGGATTCTATGTTCATTTGGCTTGGCGGTTTGGGGTTCACCCTACAAGGAAGGGTAGCTTCAGGCAGAAGCAGAGCAGATGTTTGCCAGTTTTCTTCACATTGAGTCATCTACCCAAGCTGTCCGACGACACCTTTTGGCCCGACGATTTGGTGATTGGAACATACACATCATACAACCAGCCCCTGCAGAGATGCTGTGAGAGCTTCTGCTCCCCTCCTGCTGCTTTCAGATGCTGTTCGATCAGACAAATTCTTGTTTCTAATAGCTTCTTGTTACTACTAGTAAGGCAGCGTGGCACTTGTTTCTAGTTTCCCCCACCAGACACAGACCTCGAGGTGTCTTCCACCTGAGATGCGAGAGGACCTCATCACCTTGCAGGAAGCCGTGCGTCGGGAGCCCGACGAACACCGCGGTGGATGGGGGTCGATGAACACCTGATCCGTTCGCCCCGAGGAAGTGATGGGACAGCCTTGCGGTACGCCTCCAAGGAGAACGGGAAATGCGGTCAATGCGGAGCGTTGATCAGATCCTTTTAGACGAAGCGCCCCCGGTGTTCTTTCTCGAAGAAAGCGGAATCGGATTCGGTGAATCAGCATCGTGGGCGGAGTGATTTGGTCTCTCTCTCTCTCTCTCGCACGTTGATTTTAAATGTTGTTGTTATTGGTGTACTATATGTACTATGCAGTTGCATTGTTTTTTGGAAAATATACACATTTGATGATGTTTGAGCTTTGGTCCTGTATAGCTGACATGGGAAAAGAACACATGAAAAAACGCGGGTTTTGACGACCGAGTCATTGAAGATCGACCCGTCCCTCCACCGCGGGAGCGCTCCGCAAACCGCCAGGAGCTCCGAGGCGACCGGAGCCTGGTGGAGGCCGCGGTGAAGCTGGATGGAGGCGACGCCCTGCAGTACGCCGTTGAGGACGGCGGATGGGATGGAGAACGCCGAGGACGTCGAACTTCCTCTCTTTTTGCGTGAGTTTGGTTCGGGGGAGAATGAGATGCAGATTGAGAGGTGCGGACTGCATGGATTTCGTTTTTTGATATTGGTTTGCATGCTCGCAACTTTGCTAGAGTTGGGTGGGTTTCAATGAGACTTGATATATACTGTACACTTGCACAGACAGTTTAATTCTGGACTAATAGTTAGTATTGAAATGTATTGAAGTCAGGATCTCCAAGATTCCAACATGGAGGTTTGAGCAGACAGTGGCTTTGCTTGAGCTTCATTGTGAACATGTTCTTTTTGTGACAACGAATTGGACATTTGACAGGATTTTTTCTCAGGAGTTTAGTGAAACGACCGACAGAAGTTGACTGCCCACCAGACAAGATCCTTTGCGGCTAGGCTATAGGCTTGGTTGGTCATCGTATCACATGAGCTCACATATAGTCCCATTTGGTGGATTTCTGCCATGCCTTTGCCCTAGCTATAGGTCTGTGGTCACCACGTGCAGACTGCTTCCGCCGGTCACATCTTGCACCTGCTCCATCCTGCAGCTTTCTGCACCACGTCCCCCTCTCTGGGCTCCTCAGGAGCCGTCCCTTTTCCGCTCCTCAGGAGCTTCGGAACGACTCGCGCCTGGTCCTGGAGGCGTTCTCTTCGTTTCACCGGCGTCACCGGCGAACGCTTCCCCCGTGCAGCATCGGCACCACAGGCCTTGAAGGCTCCAAGGGGTTCGCCGGTGGCCGAGGGGCATGCCGATAGAGGATGACGGGGTCGCTTGGGTCGCTTGCATTGGTCCACTTTTTGAGGTCGAAAGCTCTGGCATTTTCCTCGAAGTTGGCGGCAGATCGAGCTTTTGTTCTTGAAGTTCTCAAGTTCTGGGCTTAGTCTTCATTTGGAGCGAGCTAATTCCTCTTTATGGACTCCAAAACTAAGGAAAGATGGGCTCAGCCTACAATACGTGGGATGCCGAATGGTGCCGATTTCTCCCAAGCTCTGGAACATAATGATTGCTTTATACAATTTTGAATCTTGAACTGCCTGACAGAGGTCTCACCCATTCTGAAGGCTGACACCAGCGTCGTGCTCGCTGCCACTTGGCAACTTCCAGCGGACTGAGTGGGCAATTAAACAACCGCTGTTTTTTCACAAACCTCTTAAAACTTTACAAACTGACTGTAACAATTATCTTTGCATATACTGTATAACACACTGATAGCGTCTTCACTTCGCGCCCTGCTCCACCCACAACAACACCATCGGGCCACCGCCGTTTTCTCGCCGACCGCGGAACGGGCGCCGTTCTCGCCGCCCGTTCAGCGGTCGGCGAGAAAACAGCGCTTTCGTCGACGAGGCCTTGCAGCAGAACGGCGAGGCCTTGGAGTTTGCGCCCGAGAAGTTCCAGTCGAGTCGCAAGGCGCGGAGGGATGTCATCGCGATGCGTGTGTTCGATGTCGTTCGTTTGTTTTTTGCTGGCTTTCATCGGTTTTTGTTGGGGGTCCAAAAAAGCAGTCATTGGAAGGCTAAGCTAGGCTTACAATGTACATGTGAACAGATGCATGCAGGTGTTGTGTTCGGGAGCATCGGACTTAGCCAGGTGGTGGACGTGGCTGTGAAGCAGAATCCCAGAGCCCTTCGCTTCGCTTCGGAGACTCTTCGATCAGCGCCTTGGCGACAGTCCCGACCGGTGCGACCGACCTTTTCGTCGGACGTGGCGCGAGTTGGTCGTCGTCGTGCAGGACGAAGAGTTGGTGAAGGAAGTGGCACAAGTGGATGGATCTGTGCTGCAATATGCATCTGAGACTCTTTGTCCACGCCTCAGCGGTGCATGGCCGTCGAGCCCAGTTTGAGCTCAGTGTTTTTGCCTGCCTTAAGCTAATGCCAACGAATTGGTGTGTTGATGTGTTATGTTTTCTTCAAACAAGCTACAGCTAATGACTTTCATCTCGATCGATATGTGTTTTCTTTGAGGTGCCAACAAACGAGTCGTCAACAAAGCTGTGGCTCAGTCTTGGGAAGCTCTTCCCTTTGAGCAGGCTCACCCTAGCAGAGACCTGGGGCTGAAGATGTTCCCTGTGTGGGACTGGTGTGCGTGGGTCAAAACCCAAGAGCTCTGGTTGACACTGAAAATGATTCGATTCATTTGATATCATTTCATAAGGGATGTCAAAGTACTCCTACCTAGTTCCAGGAGGCTTAATGCATCATTGTTAACTGTGAAGCACCTATGGAAAGTCCGAGCGCATGCCTCGGGTGGCAGCTGCACAGGTGGAAGAGGGGCTTTCAATTGAGCTCTTGCTGGACACTGTGAAGCAGGAGACTTCGAGAGTCAGTTATTGACATTGACCTTAGACCACTTCCTAAAGGACTCGACATTGGGCTTGTATTCAGAAATGATCGGCAGCATTGCTCAATATCGCATGCACTTCGGTTGTGTTGTTTTCCTCGGTCGGGAGGGCGTTCGATCGTATGGACTCGACGGATCGGTCTCCGGTGTGACCGACGTGGCAGGTGCTCCGTCTCGTCGACACGCTCCGAACCGGCTCGAAGGACTGGCGAGCGATCAAGGAGATCTTGCGGAAGAACCCGGATCCTCCGGAGGTTGGGAGAAGCTGTGGGACTGTGGACGATGGACAGCCAAAGGGATTCCATCGGTCCAACAAAAGGTCTGTGTGATGCCATCTATTGACCAAGAACAGCAATATAGATTTGTCTTCTTAGACAGACTAGACAGATGAATGATGATATAAAGTCCAGTGTTTGGGATGCTTTTTGGATCGACGCACAGATCCGAGTCCACACCGCCGACCAGTCGGAGGGATGTCACCGTCCAGCTCGGAAGGACTTCTTGGTGGAGGCGGCCACCATCAATCCAGAGATTGTCAGAGCACAAGAGTCTCCGACTTAGCGATTTTGGGGGGCTCTTTAAGTGAACCTGATAGGTTTGGCTCTTTAACTCAACCTGATAGGTTTGGAGGCTCTTTAAGTGAACCTGATAGGTACCAAACGCATGGTGATTTTGTTGTAGGTCATACGGTCATACAGTGCAAACGCACACGAAACCGGTGGCTTACACGAAACCGGCGTTCTACTGCCACGTCCTCAGGTTACGAGGACACCGGTCGGTGGCGGCGGCGGCGCTGGAAGGGAATGGCTTGATGTTGCGGGGAAGCTCAGATGTTTTTGCACGATTCTACCTATAGCACTTCCAACGGGTGCCCAAGGCAGATGGAGACCCATCTACATAGGGTAGGGTAGTCTATTGGACACCCAGACAGGATGATCATTTTTGTGGCGATTCTTTTTGTACTTCTTCTTTCCAGGGCACTCTTTCTCCACGGAGTGTGTTTTGGGTGTAATATGGTGTACTTATATGCTGTGCTGTAGAGCCGGTGTTTCATGGTGTTTCTGTGTCTTTCGATGTTGACTATACAACATCAGGTTTGCCTCGTCTCTCATTTCTGCAGCTTCATTGCAGATGACTTTCTCTCCAAACACGGGAAAGTCGATGACAGAACAGATCCTGGGCACAGATGAGATGGGCACATGGCTCCATCGCCAACTGGCTGGTTGGATGTTGAATTCCTGAGCCTTTACGGAACGACATGGCGTTGCGAGGGATGACAGCATGTGATCGTTTTTGCGCAGCCATTTGCTTGCGGATTTTGCGCGGTCCGTGTTTTGTTGAGGCACTATTTGCTTCCGGATTTGCGTGCTGACCAAGAATTGGCCGGGTCATCAGCACATTGATTTGGCAAGCAGTACTTGCTTCATCCGAACTAGCAGTTTTCAACTCCAGTTTGGATTTTGTGGTTTACAACGAATAGTGGCATCATCACACGGGTTTTGCGTTCAAAAGAACCATTGGGTGCTGCTGCATTCCACGTTTGACGTCTTTTTGGAGGCCTCCATTGCTGTGCGCCAGAATCCGGACGCCATGGGAGAAGTCCATCCATGTCTCCGTGCGGGCCAAAGGAAGCGTCAGGAAAGAATGCAACATTAATCAGCACCAGCAGTGCCATATTTGTATATATATATTTTTTTTAAAATTAACTATTTTAATCCATTTGTTGTTTCTAATAACAGCTTCTTGTTCCTAGTAGTAAGGCCAGGAGCCCCTAATAGCGTCCTTGCTCCGTTCGTAGCGATGCCCTTTGTTCCGGTTCGTAGCGTCCTTGCTCCTACCCCCCGCTAGTGTTGTGATCCCGGGTTCCCACACAGCAAGGGGTCAAGATGAAAAAAATAAAAACAACAACCTACTCAAAAACAACTCAGACCAGAAACTCAGATTCCAAAGCCACTAATTGGACTCAGATTGGACTCAAATTGGACTCAGATTGGACTCAAATTGGACTCAGATTGGACTCAAATTGTACTCAAACATGGTTTTTGAGTTGTTTTTGTGTTTTTTTTTGAGTTGTTTTTGAGTTTTTTTTGAGTTTGTTTTTGAGTTGTGTTTGAGTTTGTTTTGAGTTTTGTTGTTGAGTCTGTTTTGGATTTGAGTTCTTGAGTTGATTATTTTTTTGATTATTTTTTGTTTTTTAATTTGTTCAATGATTTCAGCCCTGTGTGGGAGCCACGTTATCCTAACGCTAGTGCTTTATTGAGGCATGGACCACATGGACCGCATGACCTAAGGCCGGGAAAACGACCTGCTGAAGCTCCAGAAGGACGTCCTTGTTGAGAAATGGAGAGAAGGATCCGAAAAAGGAGTAGCAGGATCTCCGGTGTCCAACTCAAATTTGCCAACTTCTCCAACCTTTCTGCCGGTGTTTTTCTCCGTTCTCACCAACAAGCCAAAACAGAATCCGAACACCCACCGCGTCCGACCGCACATCCACGCGTTTGGTCACCCAGCGCGTTCTGCTTTCGCACCGTGCAGGAGGGCTTGGTGCGGCGGGCTCGCTTGGAACTTCGTAGGCGACGCGGCGACGCGGTTCATCGATGCTGGCTGGTAACATGTTGAAGAATAATGTAGACTCAATGATTAACAAACCCCGGGTGACTATAATTACCAGTTTTCCCCGGCTCTTTTTGCTTCGATTGCGACTCAATTCAGATGCGTATAAAAAGGCACGACATGTCAAACGAATTGCGCAGGCGCCGGGCGAAATCCGACACCGTGGCAGCCGAAGCCGTCGCCGATCACGAGATGGACCGAGACGGCGACGTGGCGGACTGGACGGAGCCGATACCAGAGAAGCTGCCGGAGATGCTGCCGGATCCGCCGGATCCGAAGATGGAGAAAGAGGTTGAAGCAGCAGAAGTTGAATCTGTTAGACCTGACTCTGCTGATTCTGCAGTGAATCCCTAAATCTGGGATTGACACTGGCTGAGTGTACATAGGTCATAGATACTGCGATGCTTGCCAAGCAACCGAGCAAACAGCGGAGTGTCGAAAAAGTGGTGCTTGGCCTCAAAGGATACAAACGTCGCTGTTGTGTTAGCAAGAGATTTGTAAAGCGCATGCTTTTAAAGCGCCCTATAGTACTGCAAAAATTCAGATGGAAGACACCAAAGCAAGAGGGATGTGGTTTGGGAGTGCACCGACTCCTCTTAGCTGAGCCGGAAAAAGCGGCAGCTGTGGCTGAAGGCCGTGAACGGCCAGGTGTTTGGAGTGTTTTCGTGAAACACCTTGGCGGTTCTGCACTGCAGGAGATTAGCCAAGAAGAGCTCGAAGACGGCGCCACTTAGTCCCACGAAAGATCGACCCCAACTGCCGCGGGGCCCCGCGTTGTTCGATGGATGATGCATGACTCTATCGATCGACTCCATGAAGCGACTCCGCAAACGGACGCCATCGAGAGTTGCGACCAACCCAATTGACCATGTTTCGATCAGCAACTCTCCGACATAGCTCTGAAACTATTTAACTCTCAGGGGGTCAGCGTTCGAATTCGCCGCAGGTGATGACCTAGGGTCCTGGTGCTGGTCCTGGTACTAAAAATGAACTACGTCGTGAGAATCAAACGAATAGCAATCCAATTTCGGAGTGCCTCTCTCCTGGGCTGCAGCTGTATGCTGATCCACATCATTCCACATCCAGATGGACGTTTCACCAGACTCCCCAAATCGCTTTCACCTGGAACCTGGGCTTTTTCACCGATAGCCGTCGCTACGGGACCTCCGGGACTGCTCGGATGGAGAGTCGACCGATACCGACCTCCGAGGCAGATGTGTCGCCCACCTCCTCGCGACCTCCAAGAGCGGCCGAGGCGAAATGCGTCCGGTGGAAACGGTCGCTGTTCGCCCACAAACAGGCGCAAAACGAGCCAGGTCACCTGGCGAAGCCTTCAAATTCGACGTCGATCAAGCAGAAAGAAACTGAAAGTAGATGGTTTAGAAAATATCGATCTAGCTATGTCTTTTCCGCCTCTTTGCAGTGGGGATGCTCTCAAGCCCCGGTGTACCAGCAGGACCCTCCCTCATTCGGCTCCGGATTCTTAGGGTAGTTTCATTATGTGTCAGATCCTCCATAAATGCCCTTCCCCATGCGCTGGGCACTCGTTCATTCATTTGGGCATGCGTGATTTCCCCTGAGCCTGAGGAGAATGATGTCGGTAAAGTGGCGGCGTCGATCATTGGGAAGGCAAGGCTGTTATTTGGCACTATCGGACAAAAACAACTGCAGGCCACAAATGCATGTCTTCACATATTATGTTGTTGAATGTAAGTTTTAAACATAAACATACACATGTGTTCGCCCCGGCAGTGTGGTCCAGCTCCCCTTCTGGCAGAATTGAGACTCGAAGATGTGAGCGCCGAATGTGAGGTGGATGTGGAAAGTGCTAGCGGGGCTGAAGATGGTCTGCCACAGTGCGTTCGTGGCCTCAGAACTCAGGTTTCACATGGACAAACCCTATGGATCCACATACCTTCTCAGAAGCTAATTGGACCCTCCAAGCCTACATAAATAGTCTCCAATCACCTTCTCAGAAGGTATGTGGATCCATAGGGAAACTGAGAAATCGACATGTATTGTATTGTGCAAACTATTATACCCATACACTCCATGGGACTGGCATATTTACATACATTGACCCCTAAAACCACCCCAATGTAGGTAAATATGCCATACATGGAGCGTCTGGGATAGGTGTTTTTTGTTTTGAGATTCTTCTCATTTGACTTCAGTTCTTGACTTTGAAGGTTGTTTGTTTGGACGAGCCCGGGTGCATGGTGCTGCTTCCCTGTGCGCATGGAGGTGTGTGCGAGGAGCCGATGGATGGATGGGAAACCTTCGCTATCGGAGAGAGAGTCCTTTACGCTGAGGTGTCACGTCCATCCGCAAACTTTGAAGAGCACAGTGATATATTCAAGCGTGTGGAACAGAGAACGTGGCAGGAGTGCGTGACACGGATTGTCCAGAATCGTGCATTTGGCGGTGCTCATTGTCCACACTGTAGATCAAACATTAGCAGCTTGGCTTCGCACTGGCAGTCATTATAGTGATTATGATTGTGTGTCTTCATGTGTTTTGTTTCCTCGATCTTTTCCAATTACCTTTTGCATCAACAGTTTTGAGTTTTCGCAGGTTGGCGCTTGGAAGATGCACGCATTGCACGCATCATGTGTTTGATTTGTCTTCTCCATGTCTCGCTGCGCCGTCTCAGGCACTATCGTGAAGCTTCAGGAGGCCACGCGCTCAGCCTGCCGCATGTCATGACCATGACTTTAGAACGCGAAAAGCATGGTTGTTCTACAGCATGGTGTCAACAACTCCACCTATACATCCAGGGCCAGGGGGAGCTTTTAGTTCACCAACCAGCTTTGATTCCCTCCCTTCTCGTCCTCCTGAAGACCCGGGGTGCCTCGTCCGAGATCCTCCGGTGAGGTCGAAGGAGAACTGGCGAAGGGCGTCGAACTTCGGATACCTATGGCCAGACCTGTGGCGAATGCCTGAGGCGTGTGGGCCCGCGTGTGGCGCCCATTGTTGGGTTGTTAGGAGAGAACAGGGGTGAGGCCTGCACTCTTTGCAAGAACATGACCATCAATGGTGTTGAGATGCTGTCAGGAATGTCACGAATTTGGTCATATTCTCTCACAAGTCATTCGGCACATGATCTGAAAGGGTTTTGTAAACACCAGATCGATAGAAAACGCGTGTAGCAGCTCTCTTTTGTTGCTGTGTATAATCCTGAGGGCCACCCGACCACCCTGAGGTTTGTGCGAGAAGTGTGTTCATTCATCGTGAGACATTTGTCAACGCAGCTGTGCCCTTCTCTGCATGCGTGCGACTGAAGTGCATGGAAAACGGTTGATGCCATTTGGCTCAGATTTTGCGGCAATCTCATGACAATAAAATTCCATCAAGCTCCCAAGTCGAGAGGGAGCACATTTGAAGCAGCAGTTGCAATCCCAAGTGGGTGTCTCACTAGAGTGCAGTTGAGACAAGCCCAGGCGCGACTGTATTTGTTGAGCTATTTTAACGAGGTCATGCTCTATCGAAGCCATGCTTCACATATGCTCAGATGGCAGGCACAGGCCGGATTGGTGCAGCACCTGGCGTGGTCTCTTCCCTCACCCAATCTTTCTTAAGCCGTCTAATTCATTGACATTGATATGGATTCATTGACTCTTCTGTAAATGAGGCTGTATATCAAGCAGGAATCTTTTGATCCACCGGTTGAGAAGGACTTCATCCAAGCCGACATAGAGTGCGCAATACGCCGGTTTTGAGTGGGAAACTCCCCCACGGCTCAACTGGTTCAAGAGACCCAGAAGGCTTGGCTTTGCAGAAGTCTGTCGCGAAGCCGCGCGTCCACTTCGACACCTGCCACTTCGTCCACTTCTCTTCCAGAGCTAGGCAGGCGTAGCATGGAGCATGGAGCAGAGCATGATGCAGCATGAGCGATATATACGTTGATTGTCTTGGCGCCATGGGCCGCCATTTGCCCAAAACAAAGCCACTCCGCGAAAACAAGAAATCTGCACTTTGCCCCGATGAAGTGTCAAAGATGGTGATGCAGAGTAAAGCCCTTGGGCCCTTGGGCCCCTGTCCTAAAGTAGACATTCTTGATCCTTCTTGTAGCACCAGCAGAGTCGAGTCATGTTGGTCTTGATTAGTCACGTCAACATTCCTCTCCCGTAGCAAAAACAATTGGGGAGAGTCATTCACATTACAGTAAACGAGGCACCGTTTTGTTAGATAAAATTGCTAAGAGGAGGAAACAACAACAATTTATTGGTTGGAAAAGGACAGGAAAGGAAAGGATGTCCTTTTGAGAGAAATCAACGCAAGGATCTCAAAGGGAACCAATGGCAATATAAGAACGCGATAGATAGAAAGCTTTGCACATATTGTATTTTGCAAAACCGCTGTACATGACTCCAACCTTTTAATTACCGACTCGGGTCAAAAGCTAAGGAAGGATCTCAGGGCAGAAATCACCTGCAGGAGAAAACATGAGAAAACACACCACTTGACTTGTCAGCGTCCAATACTACTCATTTCCAAGCAAATTCGAACAAATAACGGAGAATGGGTTCCCTCCCGAACTTCTACGGTAATGTCGACTTAACTGTTTGTCGAAGGCGCTGAAGGCTGAACGAACAGGAGAAGCTTGCTTTCATGGCAAGGAATTGTGGAACCGATCCCAAGAAGGAATTACAAACTCAAGCAGTTGTGGATAGCAATAGCTTGTAGGATGCAAGTATTCTGTTTGCGGACTTGATCTTTGTTCCTTTTGTTCCTTCGGAGGTGGCACTACTTCAGTGGCGCCTCGCGAAGAGACGACTTCAGTGGCCATTCCTGGACCATCGAAGGTGTCAGTGGGGGCTCAAGAATCTACCCAGCCATCCGCTCGTTAGATATTTTGGATTCAGCACATGTTTTGGGAGGGATGGCCCCTTCCAGGGAATCCGCATGAAAAGCAGGATTGAGAACAGCTAGGCAGAAAAAAAGGAAGAACACAGATGTCAGGTGTCACACAGGTGTGTTCCCACGCAGTTTTGAATGCACAGATGTCAGGTGTCTGATATTGTCTTCAAAGGTGCTCTGGACGAAGACCTCAAGGTTCGACCCAGTTGAAACCGAAACGACGACGCTTCGGGAGACGGCCCACACGTGTCCACAGATACCGGATACCCATTTGTCCACATCTCAAAAACACGACTTGGTTTGAGTCATCTCATATACTTTTTATTGACACATAAGAAGGATCGTCACATCTTTGAAGCTGACAGCCCAACAGCGTGGCGCTACGTCCGCTCTTTTTCGGACGTTGCCCCAAAGAGCTTCCACAGCTCTCAGGGTGGTGCCAGACATGCCCCCGTGGTGTCACGCCTCTGGAGCAACGTTCCAGTCCACGCCGGGCACCGCAGGGCTTCGATTCACCGTGCTCCGCTGAGCGTCGACCGCGAGCGTCGACCGCGTCGTGAGGTCAGAGAATCCTTCAAGGCGCCAGCAACCTTGGCAGAAGCCCCAGGAAGAGCATGTCGCACGCGTGGCACGCGTGTGGATCGTTGCAGCTTGCTTGAAGGAAGAGCATGACATGGCATGTGTGTCTCAAAATGGGAAGTTTGGGTGCCGAAACCATCCAAAGCCACTGAGTGAAGTGAACTTTGTTAAGATTGAAAACCTTCCAAGACCCATGCAAAGCCCACTTGTCATGAAATTTGGATCCTTCACGGTTCCTTTCCACTGCACTGCCCTTCTTGCGTCGTTTGGACGCGCGAGAGAAAAAGGCCAACCTCGCGCCTTCACCTCGCTGCAGTGGATGAATCGCATCGCGATGAATTGATCAGGATGAAGCACCAACTCCTTCGTCGCCCTTGTTGGTGGATCGTGTGCCGACCTCATCGAGTGCTGCGACTCGTGAGTGTTGGCACGAGATCGGAGATCGGAAGCTGGCATAACCTGACATGAAACCGATTTAACTAAGAGGATATGGCAATGGCGTTCTGTGAAACAGCACCCAAACGTTGGTCAAGTTGGCCCAGTCCATGTTTTGACTGTTTAAACTAATACCGTATTTGAAGCAGTTTCGCAGTTTCCTGAGGTGCTGTCCGGGGTGAAGCAATTGGCTGCCCGGTCTGGTTTGGCTCCAGCGCATTGGGCCTCCGACGTCCGACGTCTCAGTGGGTTCCTGGCTGGAACAGCAGGGTGGCGGGTTCGGGTATGCCCAGCCACAGCCAGAGACAGAAAAAGACAGACTGACAATAATTCTATTGGTGCTAATATGAACATCAATACCATCATATACCATCAAAAACTGCGTTTGAAGATTTATGTTGGAAACGTGTAGCAGCGCTTGTTCAGTAAGTGAACCGGAGTTGAACCCGTCTCGACTGGCACGTCGGTCCGCACCAGTGCGCACCGGTCCCACAGGTCGCGAGGCCCTACTACGGCGGCCGGCCAGGTGCTCGGTGAACCCGGACGCCGAGTCCACCGGGAACCGCACCGGGGGGGAAGCGCACGCTGAGGATTCCGCTGGCGCCGTACCAGAAGGGCCAAACGGCAGCTTACAACTATCCGTGCGGAGGCCAACATCGGTCGAGTTCAGTCGAGTCCTTTTCCTGGCCACTTAGACGGTCGCATTGGCGACTGTGGAAGAAAGATTGTTGTTTCACGCTAGGATGTCGTATACATGTCTCACTTTACTACCGTTTGGCTCAAGGAAAACCAGGTGCGACTTGTTGGTAGTTCTCGGTCGTTTACCTGTATCTACAGGTTATCAGCCGTATCGCCATAAGTGCGGTACGTGCTTTCTACTAGCTGTGGTCTCACCCCACCCTAGGTAGTGCACTATCTAGAGGCCATGGCTGATGATGATGGTTCCCGTGGTGACCGCTCACGCTCAGGCTACGTTCCTACTTCGCCTGCGATGTCCAGTTCACCTGCTGCTGATCTCCCTGTCGTTCCGCTGGAGTTGCGTGTGCCAATTGCGCCACCGACGTTCAGTGCACAGGGGGACCTGTTGCCTAGTGGTCAAGCACCGTCGCCGTTTCAACCTGAGTTTTCTCCTGTGATGAATGTCCAGAACGTTGATGCGAGACAGATCCATCAACAAGCAGTCTTCGTCAATGAGGACAGGTCAGCACAGGTAGCCCAAATCGCAGAGTTGCGGCATCAGGCCATTTTGGCCGAGCACGGGCAACAAGTAGCTGAGGAGGCTAGGCATTTTAGAGGCGTAGTGGAGAACCAAGCTAAAGTGGCTGTCCAGGAGTCTAGGGAACAGATTGAGGCTTTAGCCAATCAACGATTGAGTGACATGAACCAAGCCCATCAAAATCAACATCTTCAAGAACAACGGGCTTACCTAGATCGCCTTTCGCTCGAACGACACACCGTCGTTGAGAACGAACGCGCCTCTGCCAAGCAAAGAGAGGATGCACTTCGGTCAGAGTTAGCAGAACAGAGTCGAATCATCAAGGAGTTGAGAGAGAGGTTTGACAACGCCTCGGGGAACCGAGTGCCTGCACCATCAGTGCAGCCACCTGGGTCTCAGGTGTCCCCAGCTTTGCCTCCAGCGAGCCTTCGCACTCAGTTGGAGAAGCCCGGGATCGAAGGCGGTGATGAACCTCATCCATCCGATGCTGATGAGGAGGGTGGTGATAAATCAAAGAAAGACAAGAAGAAGAAAGGTAAGGATAAGAAGAAAGAGAAGAGCCCTAAGAGGGGCCGCTCGAGGGAGCGCAGAAAGAAACGCTCTCCTTCCCCATCACCATCGTCACCCAGTTCATCAGGAGGGAGTGATGACTCAAATGACTCAAGCTCTGAATCATCGCGTCTTGCACGCATCATTCGCAAAGAGCTGAAGAAGCAGCAAAGGAAGTCGAAAGACAAGGATCATGAGAGTAAAGCCAAAGAAGCTGACAAAATTCTCATTCCCAAGTTCCCCACGCCTGAGAAGTACAGAGACTGGAAGATCAAGGTGAGGGACAATATTGCTGCAGCTTCAGCGAAGCCGGATGAAGCAAGATCTTGGGTTGGGAAAGTATACAAAGATTCCCAAACCATTGATGCCTTGGATGATTCAGAGGGATTTGCAACCCTCGACGCAAAGCTTCTTGCAAGCTTAACCAATTGCGCTGAGGGGGACCTCGGTCGGCAGATTGCTACATTCAAGGAGCTGCGTGCTCGTGAAGACAAGAACGTGAAGGGTAGACACTTGCTCCTTCGGTTCCACGAGTATTGTGCCACAAGCATAAAGCATGGAGCAATCTACGGACTCGAAGACCTCATGTCCGTCAAAATGGTCAACGATGACCTCAAGGGCTTTATAAATAAATGGGATAGCGTTCTTGCCGGAATGAAAAAGGAACCAGAAAACAGTGTTCTGGAAGCCTATTTCCACCTGGCAGTGAAACGTTTCAAGCCGCTTGAGCATGATTTGGCCTTGTACGACCGTGCAGCCGATGGAAGCAAAGAAAGAACATACGACTTCCTGATTACTGCTGCCCGGGCCTACCTCGAACGGAAGAGGTTGGAAAAGATGCGCGACGCCACGAAGCGTTCGCTCGGGTCCAAAGACACAACCATGCCAGCTCCGGAGGAGAAGAAAGGCATCTGCTACGAGTTCCAAAAGACCGGAAAATGCAAGCGCGGATCATCATGTCCTTACAAGCACGAAAAAGGCCGCGAGAAAAGCAAAGGAAAGGGAAAGGGCAAGGATCGCAGCCAATCTCGGTCAAGATCGCTGACACCAGGATCTCGCAAGGAGACTTGCAAGTTTTGGAAGGCAGGACATTGCCACCGAGGAAAAGACTGCGCATTCCAACACCCTGAAAAGACTGTCCCTGCGAAGAAAGAGGACAAAAAGAAGAAGAAGAAGAAAGACAAGAAACCTCGCAAGCGAAGCAGCTCACGAGGATCATCAGGCTCCGACAACTCAACTGGCTCTGAGAGTCAGAGGAGAAAAGGTGGGAAGTCTTCTTCTTCCAATGCACCGGCAGCGGTATGCCTCCTTCGAGCAGTGGTCATGGCCGCAGTGGTCTCTCAGGGATCCTCCGTCCTCATCACTCGCCCGCTGGGAAGCGTGGCCATGCCGGTCCTTTCCGCATCAAACACTATGTGCACCGATTTTGACAACACAGAAAACATTGACAGTTTTGTTACGCAAAGAGTTCGTTTTGACGATCAACCAAACGTTTTCAATCATGCTGTTGAGTCTTCTTCCAGTTGGAGATCCGTTCAACCCCGGAGTAAGAAGAAACGAAGACCCTTCACACCAGGTCGACCGGAGCATGCTGAGGCAGTTCGTGTTGCCACTGAGGACGCATCCATTGCAGCATCACACCTTCAGAATGCTGTCAGGAACGAGCTGTTGTCCTTGCCGGCAGAATGTTCGTACCTGTGCAACTCTATAGGTTGCATCAAGTGTTTTGAGAGGAGGTCATGTCCAACAGTGCCCGCCACTGAGATTGCATGGATTGCAGATACTGGCAGCGCACACGATCTTGTATCTAGACACATGCTACATTCGGATGAAGTGTCACAATCGTCCAAACCGGTCAGTCTTCTTACTGCCAACGGAGTCTTTCAAGCCACTGACCAAGCCAGAGTCAATGTCCCCGTGTTGGGAACTGATATCGATCCTTATGTCTTGGAAGATAGCCCAGCCATCGTATCGGTAGGACAACGCTGCATCGACGCAGGATGGAGCTTCCATTGGCCCGCTTACAGTAGGCCGTACTTCAAGAAACCAGACGGAACAAAAGTCAAGCTTGAAGTAGAGGATTATGTTCCATACTTGCCATCAACCACCGGTGTTGCAATGTCCGCCATAGGTCAACCTTACGGTACGAACGATCGGTCAAAGGGGCTGCGACCAATGATCCCTCTGCCCGCGTCACCGGCTGAAGAGGCAATTGAAGTCCAGGATGATGAGGACAACCCCATCGGCGAGGACCCTGTTGAAGATGATCCCGAGCCAGTGGATGAAAGGTTGGTGGAGAAGCCGTTGGACCCGAAGAGGGATAGGGGAGAGAAAGCTCTCAAGGAAGAAGCACAATCCATTCAACATCTGTTGACTCATACCCCGAAGAACCCCTTTTGTCAAGCCTGCTCGAGAGCAAAGATGACCAAACGTCCATCGTATAGCAAGGGTGGTTCAACCCAGGTAGAGGCGGATCATTTCGGACAACATTTGACTGCTGACCATCTTGTTATTCGTGACGATGAGGAAATGGACATCGATGGGGCTCGCGTCGCATTGGTCGTGAAAGATGTGGCAACGGATTTCAGATATGTCTATCCGGCCGCACGTCGATCAACACGTGAATGCATAGCAGCCTTCAAGCATTTTGTCCGTTCGACTGATGATGTAGGAGTATTTTATTCCGACAATTCACCAGAACTCATCGCGACGGCTGAAAGGCTAGGATGGAGGCATCAAACCAGCTTTGCATACGTCTCTAAGACCAATGCTATGGCTGAGAGATCGATTCGGTCTGTCATCGATGGAACAAGGGTAAACCTAGAGCAAGCTGGCCTACACCATCAATATTGGGCTCACGCTGCCAGGCATGCATGCATGGCAAACAATATCGTCGACGCCCGGGAGGGTAGTTCGCCTTGGTCGCTTCGGTTCGGTGAGAAGTTCACAGGCCCTTTGGTTCCCTTTGGGTTGAGGATTGATTACTGGATCGGCCCCAAGAACAAAGCCAAGTCCTCTCTCAGGTTCGAGCCAACGTCAAACCCAGGGATATTCTTGGGATATGCCGTTCAGTCCAATTTTGTGTGGAGAAAGGAGTTCATGGTTCTGCCGTTGAAGGATGTCATGGAATCAGACTTCAGTGCGGAGATTCAACCATTAAGAGTCCATCAGATTGCCGTTCCCGACATCGGATTACACTTCCCATGCAAAGGCAGGTACAACATGATAAGAGAAGGTTTGTACCCAGGCATTTCCATTTCGAGCAATCCGCCATCAATTGATGATGTCAAGGCTGCAAACATTGAAGAGCTTGTTGATCAGGAGGTTTTGAAACATGCTGTTGACCAAGAGTATGAACCTGATGAACCAGCAGAACTCCCTGACGTGCTAATTGACGATGCACCCATCGCCGCTCGCGGGTCAGGAGACCTTGCCGACGATCCGGGGGGTGAAGAGGTTGAGATGATTGAGGTTCTTGATCCTGTTACGGGTGAAACAACTTTGATCCCCAAAGCCGATTCATCCTACTATGATGCCGGAGGTTACAAGGCAAGAAAGTACAAGGGTTCGTCAAAACCACCCAGCATTCCTCCGTTCCTTTGGAAAGCCGCTTCCAAAGCAGAAAGGAAGAAGGCGATTGCAGAGTACGAGCTTGAAGAGGCTCGGAAGCGCCTTCTTGCTGAGAAGAGCAAGCATAAAGCAGCCGTGGCAGAGATTGACGGCAAACTGCGAAATTTCAAGAGCGGAGACATCCCCTCTGAAGCGAAAATGGACGCCACCTGGGAAGGTGTGCCTTTGATGCCGGTTGAACATGAGGAGAAGCAGCATTCACATAGAGAAAAAGGAGTTTTGTATGAACCATGGCTAAACGCACTA